CAAATTTCAATTCATTTGGAGTCAAAAAAGACGAGCCATAGATTTTCCAGCTCTAAGCATGCCGCTCTAAGCTTTGAGCATGCCGTTCTAAGCTCTGAGCATGCCGCTCTAAGCTCTAAGCATGCAGCAAATCGATATTTTTTGACTGTACATTTCAACTGTAAGTACTTTTCTATACGAGCGAGCTACTAAGATGCCTCCTCGTGTCAAGCACGTACGTGGAAGGCTTAACTTGGTTGCCTTTCTTTAAAAACACGTTTGTAGAGATAAGTCTTCTAAACTCTTTCTTTACGTCTCTTTTGAAAAAAGCATAAGCCAGGGGGTTAATTGCCGAATTTAAAACCAAGACAGGAAATTTGTATTTTACATTGTTGCATGATGCCATTCCAGTAGTGTCGAATAGTATTAGAAACTGAACCTACGTACAGTGCAAATACATTCCGTAGGTAATAACAAACACTTCTATCACAATACCCATCATTATTACAGCAGACTTCTCGCCGTGATAGGTTTTAAGAGACACACAGCGATGATTATATCGTAGCTGTTTCGATAAAGTGCGTGCCGACGCATAATGCTTGCGTACACGAACTATTATTGAAACAAAACTGAATACCATCAGCGTAGATGGGAGAAACTCGAGAAAAATTACATCCAGCCAGCAAAAAATAGCATCAACAAGTCTCGTTTTTAAACTAACACGAAGTGAAAACTCAAGCACCTCAAAACCAGACGGTTGTAGTCCAAGAGAAGAAAATAACTTGGATGATGTGACGGCGAGTCATAAAAGTAATCTATTTTAGATGATGGACGATGGCAATAAAACGATCCAGTACTAAGACACATAAGTTTACAACAGACGTGTCACTAAACAACCACCTTATAAAATTCACCCAAGGCAGCCGTTGAGGTCAGTGGCAGGTGTTTGTAAAGTCGCATAAAAACAGAGAAGGAATAACACTCAAAACAACAAAGAAATCCGCCACGGCAAGTGAAACAATAAACGCGTTGGTTTTGGTGCGGAGATTTCGTCTGCTGCAAACGAGGACGATTATAAATCCATTTCCAATGATAGCCAGAAATGAAAGAACCCAGCCAAGAATCCAAAACCAGGTCTCCATCTTAACTGTTAAAGGAAGTTCTTATTAACTATAGATTATAAACAACACCTTGCATAAATATCAGGGTAGCATTTATTTTTTACTATCCCGAGGGGGGAGGGCACTCAACGAAGTTTTACACAGCGAGGCTGTGCCGCGATGTCCAATCCCTCTTACCCTTTTATATACCATGGAGTTACCCCTTTTGTATACCTTCTACTGACAGATAGTACTCCTCTCATATACCTAGTTTAGACGTTAATTGCTGTATTTGCACCTTCTTTTGAATATAAGTCAATCACGGAACTGGGAAGTTTTCCTGTCTCTTTCACGTCCACAAAATATATCTGTTTGTCCTTCTTTTGGTTCTATTACAGACCAAAAGGGCAGATTTCCATAGTTTTTCATATACTTAAACTAATGAAACCCTTGCCCTTTCATATATTCACCTACTAAAGCCTGGAAAGGTACCCCTCCTGGGCGGAGTCTCCCTCCCCTATCGGCCATCATAGGGAGGACCCCCCCCGGCGGTACTAATCGTTTTCATTTTTACTAACGGTGCTAATGAATGTCATGATAATTTGTATTGTGCAGAGCCGTGACAGTCAATTTGCATCAAGAAGAAATATAACTGCTTATAAGTAGTTTAATGATAAGGAATACATTTGAAACAAGAGAGGATAAAGGGGACAGAGAAGGCATCCTCCGTACACACCCTATTCCATAGGTAATTCTTCTCGAGTTATTTTTACGACCACAGATCCCAAGGGGGATTAGACAACAGCCAATCACGTAGCGCGAATGTGTTCCGCGTGGATGACCCACACTCTGAGCCACGCGTCCTTCACGAATTGACACAGAAAAAAATGGCGGAAGACGCGGAGAGCGATATTGCTATTCGTTTTGTCGACGAAAACGACTAAAGAGAGATTTCTGTTAAAGCTGTTTTAGCGAAACGGAAATTAAAAAAGAATCCCCCTTCCTCTCTTGCTAACAGTACAGCAGGGAAATCCTTAACACACTGAATTTTCTCTCAGGATCATTTGTAATTTACAGTTTGAAGAGAGCAATTTCTGGTTTGATATTTATTCTTTCATTAGTCTTTTATTATTCAACAAAAATAACACTGGGCGTCCTATAATAATAATAATAATGATAATAAAAATCTAATAACTTCTAGAGCGCTATTTACATTCACTGATCAACAGCGCTTAACAACTTAAAAAAAACTACAATAAAATTCAAATTTGTAAAACTAATTACATGTACATGAATATTACTTGCTACTTGCTTTATTGTACAAACGACCGGTTTGAATAGACCGGCGAAATTTCTCATTTTGTTTACGCACTGAGGTTACGATAACTTCGAGTTAAACTGATTTCACGGGTTGTCAAAGAGTCGAGCGATTCCCTTTTCCCAGGTGAGTGCCGCCTCATTTCGCTTCAATATTCAGAAATGCTCTCGATCTCTTTACGCTTTCATTGCCTTTCGCCCGACATGTTTTGCACGTTTAGTCATGCGAAACCTCCACGAAACATCCACGCAGCGCGCGAGGTAACTCAATCCCGATTCTAAAAATAACTCGAGACGAATTACCTATGGAATAGGGTAAGTATGGGGGATGCCTTCTCTGTCCCCTTTATCCTCTCTTGATTTGAAGCAACGAAAATAGTATACAAAATGTATTCAGTTGGTAAATTCTAGGAATCTAGTACATCACACAAAATTCGGCTTTTATCAATTACAAAGCTTTTTGTTCATTGTTGTCATAGTATAACGATTTTAATAAAAACTATATTTTCATCTGATTTCAATCCATAGCAAATTACAGGTGAAAATTTTGTAGCGATCGGACAAGGAAAAAACCACTTTTTAGACCATTGAAAAATATCGGTATGGCCTCTGAAAAACTGTATCGAAACACCTTAAGTCAACTTAAAAAGTAATTATATTCTAAGTCAAGCGCTGTGACAAATGATCGTGAGATTTCTTTAGGATGAACTTAACTTGTTGAAGATCGATCCAGTTAAGAAATTAAATCGAACGTTTTCTCGCTAAAATGTCTTTATATAGTTACAATTAACATGTGACCGTAACGGGCGTTTTCTTCTGACAGCCCGCTTAAGGACAATCGGTTAGTTAACGGACATTATGGCATGTCCCCTTGGTGGGTTCCGCTGTATCTTCCCTTTGTTTGATTCGGTCAAGGTTAATTCCTATTGATATTCATTCAAAAAATTTCTTGCTGCAGAATAAGGCACTGCAAAAACAAGACGCTCTGGAGATTAGGATGAGCTTTTTAGTGCTTGAGGAAATGGCGGAAAATTTTACATATTGCGAAGAAGAAAAAGCAAGTACTTACTACTGCCTAAAAACTAGCAAGGACAGCAAAAATAAAACTTCACAGATCACAACTGCAATTTGAAGAATATCTGGTGGACTAAACATCACTTTAAAGACTTAAATCGTCCCTGTATTTGCCGAGGAACAGACAAATGAAGATGGAAACTTAAGAGGCCCTGTCAGGGAGGGGTCCCATGTCGCTCGTCTGAAATTTTAAAACATCTCGTGTCGGTGTTTATAAATGCTTCATGTCGCTGTCGAAAATTGAACGAAAATTCTTTGTCTTTCTCGGAATTTTAGAAAAGGGATGGAGATGCGTTAGGAAGAAACCATTACAGTTCTGCAATTTCTCAGTTAACATGTCGCGTCTATACATCGCCATTCACAATTGAGTGATCCACGTTCAACACTTTAAGACTTAAAATGGATTTCCACCACCACGAAATTTTTCCTTGCGTACGCACGTAAATTTTACGCTCGTAAAAAGAAATAGGTCTATGTATGAAAGGCCACGCATAAACGTAAAAGTTGAACCTCGCTCAACTCTTACGTTTACGCGCGGCCTTTCATACATTGCCTCTATTTTATTTACGTGCGTAAAATTTACCAGCGTTAGCACGGAAAAATTACGCGTCAGTGGAAATCAACCCTAACTGACCTGATCAATCGTGAAGGCACGGTGATCTACTCTGTGAGAGCAGTTGGAAGGTCAGTGGTTAGGTTACCTGCTTCCTCAGGTCTCTCCACCGTCTTCACCGCCGTGTTGATAGACTGCGTGTTTAACTTAATCTTGTTTGCCAATTAATTATATTCCATTTCCGAGTTTTTTGTCTATTTGTGTTTCAAGAGCAGAAGGAAAAATACCTCACGCTTTCTTTTAACGAGAAGTTGGCCGCAATTTGATTTAAATCACTAACGTCTAGTTGACCGGTCATAGCCAAGACAGAAATCGGATTTTTGCGCACTGTCCTATGGGTCTTGCACCATGTTTCCAAATTTCAATTCAGCGGGAGTCCAAAAGAGCCACATGTTGGCCAGTTCTAACCTTGTCACTCTCTTTATTCTGCTTCAATTAATGTTAAGACCTACAGTGTTGAAAATGAGTCAAACACATACGTGCGAGGGCTTCACTTGGTTAGCTTTCTTTAAAAACTTTTTCTTTAGGACTGTCTCTTTTGAAAAAGGCATGAGCCAGCGAGTTAACGGCCGAGTTTAAAACCAAGACAGGAATGTTATAGTTTTCATCATTACATCGTGATGAGGATAGTATTAGAAAACTACAACGCAGGTACATTCCATAGCAAACAAGAAACACTCTTATCACAAGACCCATCATTATTACTGCAAACCGCTCGTGAAGAGTTTCAAAAGACGCGCGATGGTCCGGTGGTTAAAACGTAACTGTTTTGCTATTAGGTGCGGGCTGACCGATCATGCTTGCCTACATGAAAAATCATTGATACAAAACTGGCTATAATCAGAGCACGTGGGAGGATCTCGAGTGAAATTACATACAGCAAGTTAAAAGGAGCAGTGACAAGAATCGTTTTTAAACTAAAACGAAAATATGAAAACTGAAACACCACAAAACCAAATGTTATAGTCCAAAAGAAGAAAATAGCTAACGGATATATTCGACGACGAGTCATAAATTAAGGAAACGCACTTTAGAGGATAGACAATAGCAATCAAACGATCTAGCTAGTTCTAAACTGTGTAAGTTTCCAACCGAAGTGTTCCTATAGAAGCCACCTTATAAAACTCACCCAAGATAGCAAATGTTGAGGCAAGTAGCAGGCGTTTTTGCCGTAATGTCGCTGAAAAATAGAGAAGGAGTTACGCTCAACTACAACACAGAAATCTGCCACGGATAGAGAAACCGGCAATAATCGCATTGGTTTTGGTGCGGGGATTTCGTCTGCTGCAAATGAGCCGAGGAAGATTGTCAATTTATTTCCAGTGATGGTCAGTAATAAAAGAAACCAGTCGAGAAACCAAAACCAGCTCTCCATCCGTATTAACAGTTAAAGGAAGTTCTTATCAACCATAGATTATAAACTAGTAATAACTAAAGGTTACTGAGTGCGGGCGGCAACGATCGAAGGTTAAAACGCTTTTTCTCCATCACTGTGCTCAAGTGTGCTTTACGTGCGTTTCACGTGAGAGATAGTCAAAACACGCGTGATCAGATTACGAGTGATAGAAGATCCAAACACGCGTGATCAAATTGCCTTCTGTATATTCGATTCATTCTTTGTGGAAGTCGAAACGAATGCTGGCTACATGCATGCCATGTATCCGAAATAACTAGTAACTAGTAATAACCAAAGGTTAGGGAGTGTGTACGACAAAGATCGAAGGTCTAAACGCTTTTGTTCCATCGCTGTGCTTTGCGTAAGTTTCACGTGACATATATTCAAAACACGCGTGATCAGATTACGAGGTGCAGAAGGTCGAGACGCGCGTGATCAAATTGCGTTCTGTGCGTTCCATTCACTCTTAGTGGAAGTCCAAACTCATGCTGGTTGCATAAATGCGACGCATGCGTAATAACAACCTGGATATTAGGATTGCAGGCTCCTCTTGTCGCCCGCAATAACGCTTTTGCGTAAAAAGCAGGGTCACATTTAGCAAATGAACGTATTCCTATGTTAGCAAGAGCTAGAGAGAAAATGTGGACCGTCACGTGGCAATGGCGCTAAAACATCTGTCTGTCAAACGGGACAAAGTCAGTCACGTGAGTTATTCCTTTACTGCAATTTATTGTCAACTTGGTTCACTAAATATTTGCGAGATCATTGTATTCTTATTTGTGACAGTTCTTTATTAGAAACTGCGACAGGTGTTACAAATTACGGCAAAAGTTAGACAGCAATTTATTAGAAGTTATTTTCGTTTTCGCTATCCAATCAAATGCGAGTAAGTAAAATTGCATGAATGTCAAAAAAATACATATATATGAGATGCTACAAGAAGTTAAACTCAACGCAAAGAAACAGCTTGGAAACTTGTTTGCTAAAGAAACCGATGGCCTTTCACGTCACGAGAAATAAGACCACTCCTGTATGCAGTCGATGCAGATCGTACTAACGTTCTTAAACATTTCATTCAGGCTGAGCTAAATTGATCGGAATAATTTGCATTTGGAAGATAAATAAACTACTACTTAATTCACATGCTCAAAAATGATCTTACTCGATTCTCGATTCATGCAGAATATTTCTTTTTTAACGGTGCGCCAAAATGGAGAAAGCGAAACCAAGTGTCTGCTAGCAGGATGTGAACATAAAATTATAGTCTCAAGATGTGATATTAAAGGTTCCATCTGATAAGAACTTTCGCTTCCCACCACCGTGTGAATCCTAAGTCCTTTCCCTAATATTTTACATTCTCTTAGGGTCCAAAGGTTCTTGTTTTCTCTCCTCATACGCCTGTTTTTTTCTTTCCCAATTCCAATGCGCTTTCAGTCAAGAGTCACAGATCTATCTGCATGGCAGTCTCTTCTCAAGCCTTTCATCGTCTTTTAAGTCCTACATCCTCCAAAATTGAGTCACACGTCGACCTGTGGTAGGGTTTAGTTAAAATTGATGTATTTTCTTTAAAACACAGCGCCAACAAGTCTTTTAAACTCAACAAGTCCTTTAAACTCTTTGCCGGACCCAAAACTGCAGCCGGCGATGCCTGATACAATCCGCTATCAAAGGCAGTTCTGCCAACCCTAATATTGAGATCTCTGTCCTTCAAAAATGATCTAACGATGAGTGAAAGGCTCTATACTACTTGGTTACTTTTCTTAAAAACCACCTGACCGATTAGTCTTCTAAACTCTTTCTTTATGTCTCTTTTACAAAAGGCATAAGCTAGCGGGTTAATGGCCGAGTTTAAAACAAAGACAGGAATTTTGTAGTTTTTATCACTGCAGGGCGATGAGGATAGCAATAGAAAACCACAACGCAGATACATCCCATAGCAAACAAGAAACACTCCTATCACAATACCCATCATTATTACTGCAGACTTCTCGTGATGGGTTTTAAAAGACATCTGATGGTTA